TATTAGAAAGAATAGGAGAACAGAGGACTCTATGGAAGTCAATAAAAAATAGGCGAGATAGGTTGGTAGGACACCTTCTCAGGCATGAAGATCTAGTCAGAGACAGAAACAGGAGTTAGGAGGGGTAGAGGTAGACCTAGGTTAGATTATTGTTCGCAAATAGTTAAGGATGTGGGATGTTCTAGTTTTAGGGAAATGCGAAGATTAGCTTAGGATAGGAAAGAGCGGAGGTGCGTGTCCAACCAGTCTTGGGACTGACGACCTTATGATAATGAGATGTTCCCGAACTTTTCTAAACCACCGCCCCCTTTAGAAGTAACAACAATTCCAATGCCCCTAAGTACATAATACAGTAGAGAGTAATCCGAATTCCTATAATCTGGATTTCTTAGTAATCAGGACGAAAATGAAATAAACATTTTTGTACTATAATCCGGGTCAACTAATGATTCGATAATCCGAAGCTTATGTTGCGCAGTTTGTGACGGACTTCTCGCTGTAGTCTAGTGTAATTCGGGAAATTCCCGGATCATTGTAAAGCATCATGGCGCACAAAACGTTAACTCTAGTGGAAGAGCACGAGATAGATCAAAAATTGAAAGTGATAGTGTATGTTTTAGTATCCTTGACTGGGGGGTAACGTCTAAATTCGATGCTTAACGTCAGGAAATGCATGATAAGTGTCAACTATCATCATCAAGGAAATTTGCAAGAACCAAACGGCGCAATGGATGAAATCAGTGCTATGCATTTAAGCCAGTTAGTAGGCTGCTCAACGCAAAACAAACTCGTATACTAACGAAAACAAGAAGGGGGGTACCTAACAAATACTTAAAAAATATATTGATTTCAGAAGTAGCAAGTATATTACATGTGCCCCTCCTGACTGGCTTACCCCCTCCCTCCTACCTCTATAGAAGACTCTAGAGACCGCTGGGGGACCGATATCGATCCATTAGGAATCCGTGGTTTAAACTCTAGCCTTTTTCAATTTTAAAAATAAATTCTAAAGTCTTATAAGGTTTCTAAGAGCTGAAAGAGTTCACATAGTGAATTTATGGTATTCTTTGTTTATTAAATAAAAATACTTGTAAAGCAGGTAAAGGGTGTTATCGTGTAATTGAGAGCTTAGGATTATGAGATTGCACATCTGTCTATCCATGCATGTGAAAAATTATTATGATTTCCTAAGTATGGATGGAAATCCATGATTAGGTTGTAGTGAGTCCTGGATTTTGCTATGACTATCATACAGGTACGTAATAACGCCCCTGCAGGTATATTTCTGCTTATAGTTTGGATTTACATAGTATTATAATATACAATGCTACATGAAGCTTACTCTGTTTTTAGTTGGAGCTGTATATCACTTCTGTCTAAATTGCGATCGTTAAATAGAACTGCTCCATCATTTCGAGCATTGTAAAAAGCGGTGATAGTTATTTTAGTGGCTTCCAAGTCGTTATTACATGATAATAAAAACGATACAACTTGTTCGTCGGTCAGGGAGGGAATTAATGTTTTTTTCTGTTTCTCTACCCAGTCTTTTATTTCATTGATGTCTTTCCAGTTAACCCTGTTTTCTTCAACTATATCACTAGCCTTGAACCCATACTCCAGTGCCATCTCTCTACAAGAAAAACAACCAATTCTTTTGTGTTTTATGCACGATTTTTTGAAAACATTTCAAACCAATTTAACGTTATATACAACATTATTGCTATTTTTAGTTCTAAAATGCAACTATCAAAAATGATAAACTATTTTTCTTTCATTAACTTCACAAAATAAATTTCGAGTGTTTCGACGGTGCTGGATTACTTTATGGAAGATATAAATTATAAAAATATATATTTGCTGTGAACTCTAAATTTTGTTTTTCTTTTGAGAAAAAAAAAACGCTAAATAAATAATTGGGACAAGACATGAAAATTGTTACATAACATTCATTAAGAACAAGTAAGAATAAAATATTCGCGAACATGTTGAATGGTACCAGTTATACAATTAGCAGGTGAAAGTATTAAAATGAGACTTATACTTTACAGTAAGCCTATGCGAGACGTTGATTATATGAACAAAGATATGCAAGAATATATACAAGGTGATTCACTTAAAAAAAATATTATCTTACCAATTCCAGTACTTCCTTTTTTATAAACGGTCTCATTATCGTCATAACTTTATCTACAATCGTGGCATTTAAAACATGAACTCTGCTGAGTTTTACGGGTAAACCTTCTTGTAAATAGTGGAAAAAAATCCGGATACAGTGCAGCTTTACTCTAGTTAAATGCATAAGACCAACCTATGGTTAAATTATTTTTAGAAAAGAATTATTCTGAATTACATTTACATTAATAAACTTCGTGTTGACAAAATATATACAGTTTTAAGAAAACTACTCTCTAGAAAGCGATAGTGCGGTCAATACCTTTCCTTTTCTGCCAGGCCATAATAACCACAGAAAGAGATAAATACTGACCGCAGATTAGCTTTGTTTTTCTCGTGCGTTGGTCAGTGATGGATTGAATATTAATTTCAAAAAGAGACTACCCTTCAGAAAGAGGTAAAGCGATAGTGCGGTCGATACCTGTTTCTTTTCTGCAAGCCTTTAATAACCACAGAACAGGCTAGCAACTGACCGCACATTCGTTTTGCTTCTCTAGTACGTTTATCAGTGATGAATTGAGCATTAGCATCAAAAAGAGACTTTCCTTCAAAAAGAGACAAAGCAATAGTGCGGTCCATACCTGTTTCTTTTCTAAGTCTTTAAAAACCACAGAATGGGATAACAACTGACCGCACATTCGCTTTGCCTTTCTTAGACTTTGGTCAGTCATGGACTAAATGATTACTATTTCGAAAGAGGCAAGGTGATAGTGCGACCAATACCTGTTTCTTTCCTACACGCCTCTAATAACCACAGAACATGTTAACAACTGACGGCATATTCGCTTTGCTTCTCTTGTACGTCTGTCAGTGATGGATTGAGCATTACCATTAAAAAAGAGACTACCCTTCAGAAAGAAACAAAGCGATAGTGCGACCAATACCTGTTTCTTTTCTCCAAGCCTCTAATAACTACAGACGGGGACATTTACTGACCGCACATTCTCTTTGCTTTTTTCGCACCTTGGCTAATGATGGATTAAGCATTGGCATTTAGGAGTAACTACCCTCCAGAAAGAAGCAAAGCGATAGTGCGGCCAATACTTGTTTCTTTTCTGTAAGCCTTTAATAATCACAGAACGCGCTAGTAACTGACTGCTCATTCGCTTTTCTTCTCTCGTACGTTTATCAGTGATGCATTGAGGATTAGCATCAAAAAGAGACTACCCTTCAAAAAGAGACAAAGCAATAGTGCGGTCCATACCTGTTTCTTTTCTTTAAAAACCACAGAATGGGATAACAACTGCCCGCACATTCGCTTTGCTTTTCTTAGATTTTGGTCAGTCATGGACTAAATATTAGCATCACAATAGTGATTACTATTTAGAAAAAGGGAAGGTGATAGCACGGCCAATACCTGTTTCTTTTCTGTACGCCTCTAATAACCACAGAACATGTTAACAACTTACCGCATATTCGCTTTGCTTCTCTTGTACGTCCGTCATTGATGGATTGAGCATTAGCATTAAAAAAGAGACAACCCTTCAGAAAGAAACAAAGCGATAGTNAACTTCGTGTTGACAAAATATATACAGTTTTAAGAAAACTACTCTCTAGAAAGCGATAGTGCGGTCAATACCTTTCCTTTTCTGCCAGGCCATAATAACCACAGAACATCTTAACAACTGACCGCATATTCGCTTTGCTTCTCTTGTACGTCTGTCAGTGATGGATTGAGCATTAGCATCAAAAAGAGACTAGATACCCTTCAAAAAGAAAGAAAGCGATAGTGCGACCAATACCTGTTTCTTTTCTGTACGCCTCTAATAACCACAGAACATCTTAACAACTGACCGCATATTCGCTTTGCTTCTCTTGTACGTCTGTCAGTGATGGATTGAGCATTACCATCAAAAAGAGACTAGATACCCTTCAAAAAGAAAGAAAGCGATAGTGCGACCAATACCTGTTTCTTTTCTGTACGCCTCTAATAACCACAGAACATCTTAACAACTGACCGCATATTCGCTTTGCTTCTCTTGTACGTCTGTCAGTGATGGATTGAGCATTAGCATTAAAAAAGAGACAACCCTTCAGAAAGAAACAAAGCGATAGTGCGACCAATGCCTGTTTCTTTTCTACAAGCCTCTAATAACTACAGAATAAGATAACAACTGACCGTTTATTCCCTTTTCTTTTCTCGGAGATTGGTCAGGGATGGACTAAACATTAGCATCACAATAGTGATTACTATTTAGAAAAAGGGAAGGTGATAGCACGGCCAATACCTGTTTCTTTTCTGTACGNGTCACTTCTATGCTCGCGAACGGTTAATTTAGAAATTCGAAAAAGGTTGTTAAAGGTGTATGTTTGGAGCACGGCGTTGTACGGGTGTGAAACATGGACAGTGGGAGCGGCGGAAAAGAAAAGGTTATAAGCGTTCGAAATGTGGTGTTATAGGCGGATGATGAGGATATCGTTAGGACTGATGACCTTATGATAATGATGAAACAGTGAATTAGACTGAACGGGTAGTGTCGCCAAGTTTTTACATTATTTAATACTAGTTTAAAGTCGTGTGTTAGAACGATTCATACGAAAAATCGAGGTACGTCCGAAACAAAATTAAATCCTACATTTCGAGACGCAACAGTACCTAACATGAAAGGACATGTATAATTAGGAATGGAAATGACCACAACAGTTATAGTGAACGCCATTTGTACAAAATTGTGGGAATCAAAAATGGGTAAAGGTCTAGATGATGGCCCTTTCCGGGGGAAGGGTGGGGGGATCTAAAGAGGAGGTCTCCCCCACCACTGTACCATAAAAAGTTCGTGCCGGTCTCACCCCCATAAAAAGTTATGGGGGTTCAAAGTTAATAAATATGCCAATATTTATACATTTCTAGCCATGTAAATATTTATATAGTCATTCTTAAACAATATTCAGAGGTAAATCTAATGAAAAATACATAAAAATATTGAGAAAGTTATATAGAACATTACTTAAATAGTTTTATCAATAGGGTAAGCTAGGTTAGATTATCGGGTTTTGTCCAAGTGACCACCCTCTTTCGATCCCCCACCTCCACCCGCTTGAAAATATTTTTTTTATTGAATTTTATTTGAATTATAGTGTATGAAAATTGTCAAAATAATCAATTTTCAACCCCCATAACTTTTTATGGGGGCGAGACCCCCGCAAATTTTTTATGGATTTTTACTCAGATGACCACTCTCTTTCGATCTCCCCCACCTTATTTCGAAAAGGATATAAGGTAACTTTTATCCAGAAGAAGAAATGTTGTTCCCGAGGGGTAGAAAAATTAGTTTTCTGTGGTCGTCGATGACCTTTGACATGTATTTAGGACATCAACGCAATCGAAGCCAGAGGTAAAACCTATCATGAAATTTTATACATACATTGTAATAGGTACAAAAAATGACATAGGGGAACCTTTTATCTATAAAAATAATACTGTTCCCGAGGGATAGAAAAATTAGTTTTATGTACTCGTCGATGATTTTTGACATGTATTTAGGACATCAACACGAGCGAACCTGTGGGGTTCAATTTGGTATATCATAAAGGAAAATTATCTGAAAAATTTCAGCTATCTAGGTCTTGTATTGTAAGGATTTAGTCTGGACGATGATGGTTCTGTGAATCAGGATTTTTCTTTATGTATATATGTATGGGGGTCCGGGGTTCTCCAAAATTAGCTAATTCGGTCAATTAAAAACAAAAAACAAAATTTTATGTTCATTTTTGCGAATTCTCCTTGAAGAATAACAATCAAAGAAGTCAAAATTTCGCAATGGTCTAAATACAGATTTAAAACTGTAAGATTACAAATGCAGTAAATTTTAGGCATATTTAATTTTAATTTTTCTAAACTGCTACAAAACCAAGAATCGATCTCGCAAGAACAAGGTGAAGACCAAGACGTGCCGATGAAAGGTAAGACTAAGATGAAGACCAAGATTATGTTAGTCTTGTATTGGTTTTGCGTTTGTTCATGGCATAAATAGAACCATTTTATATGGGAGTTTCTTTGGAGTTAAAACAGTAGGATTTTCAAATTTCTCGTAGTATGTGGAATAATGTTGGAAAACTCTTCATTTTGAAGTCCCATTTCTGAAATACTAAGCTCCAAATTTTAGTTTTAATGTAACCAGGTCAAAATTGGCAGTTACAGAACTTTATCGAGTTCAGTGGTACCATTATTCAACTGAAATATCTTCTTCAGGCGTCTCGCCGCTTAGTTTAAACATTATTGCTTGTAATTCTTTTCTTAATTATAACGTTCCATTATCTATTATTATAATTTGGAAAGCATGAGCTTTCTAACGGTGAATTAATTTTAAAAATCGTTTCGCTAGTTTGTGGCATTATCTCGGACAAATAAACTTACGTTTAAACTTTCTTCTTTTATATATCAGTTAGAGAAAGTAGTTTACGGATTTTTTAAGATACAAATTTTTATTCCTATAGAAATACATATTTAGCTGCTTACGATCAATAGTACCTAGATACTTAACGATTTCTAAGAAGTTTAAAATGAAGCTGTACTTTGTATAGTGGGATTCGTTTATTATGACTCCGCCTATATTGACCAACCGCTTAATATGAAGTAATTGCAGTGTTAGATTTGGTTTTCATATTAAATTCTCTATAGGAAAGTTTGGATATAATGACTCCGTTTAAAATGACATACCGTTTATTATGTTGCCTGGCTACTAAATCAGGATTCTACAACTTGCCCGGAATTATGAAACAATCGTTTTAAGGATGCTGATAACAAAAACATACGTAAGAAATAATGTTCCTATCCCGGGAAAGGGATCGAAAATTATCAACCCAGTTTTTTGAGATTTAGNTAATAAAATAATAAATATAGTTTGTAGTTTTCCAATGAATCTAATGGTATACCTAATACTCAAACATTTTTAAAATATCCTAAATAAAAAGGACATAGCAGATATTATTTCTAAAGCATACGTACGCCTTTCATGTCGAAAAGGATAACGAGTCCTTTAGGTGGATAATCGTGAATAGCTGCGTCTATGGTCATGAAAAGTAGTTTCATTGACGGTTCCATTAAATACGCCGAATAGTTGGTGTCGTACAATTTATGAAATATAATGGCACAATTATCGTCGGTTCGCACTGGAAGCACGCAAAATATGCTACAAGTTTAATAAAAAATTTATCTTCACAAAATTCCAAGGATTCGACCGTTTTATATTATTCGTATGAAACAAAAGCTGGAGTTCAGAAAAGTAGAACCAACCGATTGACTTCACCGAACGTGGAAGTCGGCGAAAACCATTCCTTCATGTCTCGGTTAGGAAAATTGCTAACAAATTGAACTCCACAAAACAATGACTAACTAAGCAACTCTGGGAATATCATATACCTCTTAAAATCAGAAATATTTGGCTTCAATAGTATATGCTACAAAGGTTTGTGTTGCCAGAATCGGAAGGGGTATTTCTACTTTGGAGATAAAGCTATCTCCACAAAAAATCGTGGCGGGAACGTATTTTATTAAAAAAAAGTTTCCATTTATCCATTGGTGAGTAGCAATATACGTATGCCAATCAGCAATCAATCTATCCCTGTTTTAACCTAATCTAATCCTAAGACTTTGGCACATATAATAACAATAGCACCTACCTCTGCTGAATGCCCTTAACCAATCATGGTGTAGTAATTCATACATGCTAATCAAAAAATCCTTTTTCTATTTGCCAAGGGTTAAGGTTAGGTTAAAGGGGAGTAGGTTTTCCTGATATGAATGTAGATAAATACAATTTTTTAATAAAGTAAGTTCCTGTCGAAATTATTCAGCTGAGACGAAATATTAAAAGAAAATTTATTTGCCATTTTTGGTACCATTAGACAAAAGTTCTATCAGGCATCGTTATTGAATGCACAATGGAGAATGTGGTAAAAATTTGAAGTCAATTGGAGGGTTCTCCTTTTTAAAACCCTAACAGAAAACACTAAGCTACCCTATGATTTAACAACTGAAAATAAAATGTTGTCCGAACACATTGTAGTAGCTTTTTCTGAACAAAAGCTTCTTACATAGTGTTCATAGGCAGGGGGCAGGGACGTCATTACGTTTTTCTTCGAGCCATATCAATGAAAAAAGGGATACCTCCCACTCTCCAGCGAACTAACTCCCCAATAATTGAGCGCGTTATGAAGTCAAGCTCTCAAAGATGCCCCGAAGAGTTTTGATAACAGGAAGGCTACGTAAATGTTCGTAAACACAGAGCGGAACACAACCTGCAACCCCTTTACCCCGGGAGAGGGTGGGACACATCTGTCAAAGGGGCACAAAGAAAAATTATTTAAAGCTTCATGCATTCACTTTTCTAGATAAGAACATTTTTGCGGAGTAGAGGGCGCTAGAAACTAAAGACGCTACTGACAGAACAAGCCTTTTGAGTATATTGTTTATAGAAGAAGTAACTGATATACGGTATCTAGGAAGTTAAACAACTCCTAGCAACAACAACAAAAGAAGTCACTTCTATGTTCGCAAACGATTAATTTAGAAATTCGAAAGAGATTGTTAAAGGTGTATGTCTGGGGCGCGGCGTTGTACGGGTGCGAAACATCGACGGTGGGAGTTACTGAAAAGAAAAGGTTAGAAGCATTCGAAATGACGTGTTACAGGCGAATGATGAGGATACCGTGAATAGAGAAGGTTAGAAATGAAGAGGTATTAGAAAGAATATGACAACAGACTCTATGGAAGTCAATACGAAGTAGGAGAGATAGGTTGGTAGTACACCTTCACAGGCATGAAGGTCTATTCAGAGAAATATTAGAGGCAGAAATGGGAGTTAGGAGGGGTAGAGGTAGACCTAGGTTAGATTATTGTTCGCAAATAGTTAAGGATGTGGGATGTTCTAGTTTTAGGGAAATGCGAAGATTAGCTTAGGATAGGAAAGAGCGGAGGTGCGTGTCCAACCAGTCTTGGGACTGACGACCTTATGATAATGAGATGTTCCCGAACTTTTCTAAACCACCGCCCCCTTTAGAAGTAACAACAATTCCAATGCCCCTAAGTACATAATACAGTAGAGAGTAATCCGAATTCCTATAATCTGGATTTCTTAGTAATCAGGACGAAAATGAAATAAACATTTTTGTACTATAATCCGGGTCAACTAATGATTCGATAATCCGAAGCTTATGTTGCGCAGTTTGTGACGGACTTCTCGCTGTAGTCTAGTGTAATTCGGGAAATTCCCGGATCATTGTAAAGCATCATGGCGCACAAAACGTTAACTCTAGTGGAAGAGCACGAGATAGATCAAAAATTGAAAGTGATAGTGTATGTTTTAGTATCCTTGACTGGGGGGTAACGTCTAAATTCGATGCTTAACGTCAGGAAATGCATGATAAGTGTCAACTATCATCATCAAGGAAATTTGCAAGAACCAAACGGCGCAATGGATGAAATCAGTGCTATGCATTTAAGCCAGTTAGTAGGCTGCTCAACGCAAAACAAACTCGTATACTAACGAAAACAAGAAGGGGGGTACCTAACAAATACTTAAAAAATATATTGATTTCAGAAGTAGCAAGTATATTACATGTGCCCCTCCTGACTGGCTTACCCCCTCCCTCCTACCTCTATAGAAGACTCTAGAGACCGCTGGGGGACCGATATCGATCCATTAGGAATCCGTGGTTTAAACTCTAGCCTTTTTCAATTTTAAAAATAAATTCTAAAGTCTTATAAGGTTTCTAAGAGCTGAAAGAGTTCACATAGTGAATTTATGGTATTCTTTGTTTATTAAATAAAAATACTTGTAAAGCAGGTAAAGGGTGTTATCGTGTAATTGAGAGCTTAGGATTATGAGATTGCACATCTGTCTATCCATGCATGTGAAAAATTATTATGATTTCCTAAGTATGGATGGAAATCCATGATTAGGTTGTAGTGAGTCCTGGATTTTGCTATGACTATCATACAGGTACGTAATAACGCCCCTGCAGGTATATTTCTGCTTATAGTTTGGATTTACATAGTATTATAATATACAATGCTACATGAAGCTTACTCTGTTTTTAGTTGGAGCTGTATATCACTTCTGTCTAAATTGCGATCGTTAAATAGAACTGCTCCATCATTTCGAGCATTGTAAAAAGCGGTGATAGTTATTTTAGTGGCTTCCAAGTCGTTATTACATGATAATAAAAACGATACAACTTGTTCGTCGGTCAGGGAGGGAATTAATGTTTTTTTCTGTTTCTCTACCCAGTCTTTTATTTCATTGATGTCTTTCCAGTTAACCCTGTTTTCTTCAACTATATCACTAGCCTTGAACCCATACTCCAGTGCCATCTCTCTACAAGAAAAACAACCAATTCTTTTGTGTTTTATGCACGATTTTTTGAAAACATTTCAAACCAATTTAACGTTATATACAACATTATTGCTATTTTTAGTTCTAAAATGCAACTATCAAAAATGATAAACTATTTTTCTTTCATTAACTTCACAAAATAAATTTCGAGTGTTTCGACGGTGCTGGATTACTTTATGGAATGAGAAGATGGACCAAAAAGGGATTGCGTACACAACATACATATACAGTGTAAACTCTATATAACGACACTTAAGGGACTGAACATTTTTCGGCGTTATAAAGGGTGGTCGTTAAATAGAGAGAAATAAAAGATATTATTTTACTATTGTATAATAATATGCATTTACCAATATAGCACACATTTTGCACACGAACATTATTATTCATACATTGCGTANCCCCTTAAAACATAACCCCAGAGTGGTGCTCGCGAACGAAATTTTCCCGTGAAATTCAGTATGTAAGTAATTCAAAACATTACGCCATTTTTTCTTTCGAATATGATAAGAATTAAAGAGAAAAAGCGCGAAAATAGGTGAAAACATGATTTTTGGACAACTGCGAAGGTTATGAATAAATAACACAACTAATTTTATTATGTATTACACATGCATACAGGGTGAAGACTGTAGCGTTTTTAAGTTGATAAGCAACAGAGTGAAATTAATGTATTTCATTAAATCAATATTAAAAAGAAAATTGTAAATTATTGAAAAATTCGAGAAGAATACAACAATTTATACGATAACTACGAAATTCGTAACGATATTTCATTTTTTTGCACTTTTGGACGTTTTAGGCGGCCATTTTGTATCAGCCATTTTGAATTGTAATTCTAATATCAAATTCGTAATCAGCATAATCAAAAACCCCTAGTATCTGATTTTCATGATTTTTTCTTAATTAATTTTCATGATATATCATTTAATAACTAATTTTGCAGTTTTTTGTTATTAATAAACAAATAGTGTAATATTGTATAGAAAACAATGTAAACCAACCAAAGTCAAGCAATTTCGACGTTTTAAGGAGTTTGTCGTTAAATCGAGTGACGTTATAAATAGTTTAAACTGTATTTCAAACCAATTTAACATTATATACAACATTATTGCTATTTTTAGTTTTAAAATGCAACTATCAAAAATGATAAACTATTTTTCTTTCATTAACTTCACAAAATAAATTTCGAGTGTTTCGACGGTGCTGAATTACTTTATGGAATGAGAAGCAGAATCAAAAAGGAATTGTGGACACAACATACATATATATATATATATATGTATATAGGTTGTAGTGCTGATGAGACCAACTAAAATCGAAACCGTGATCCACGCCTAGTACTTTCAATAAATTAGTTACCAAGACCTTCATTCGCCCATTTTATTGATTTTGTACTATTACTTGTAAAAGTATTTTAGTTTTAATAAGAAATGAATGTTGCAATAAGTATTGCTACTGAAATGTATTAAAATTACGCAAATTGTAACGTGTCTTTATACGTATTTATTATACTTATTAGAAAGCAAAGTGTGGTGTCGCAGCTATCACATTACATCGTAATATTTTGTACCACCTTGACCGCCTTTTTATTTGGCTACTCTACCAAAAGAAAACGTTCAAACATTGTTATTACCTGTTTAAAATGACTAATAAAAAGTTTTCTGTGTGTTTAGGCATAAGATGATTTTTGTTACGTTGAACAGTTGTTTTTGGTTGAAATTACTTTTTTTATTATTGTTCGGCAATACAAAACACTTTATGTCATTGTTCTTTTAATTATTAAGGAATAAAAAAGCCAATTAGTAAATGTCGTAAAGAAAATGTTTTTGAGAAAATTAGAAAAGAACGGAAAAAGGGTAACACCTCCCAAATTTTTTTTAAAACTTAGATGTATCTATTTAAATATATAATTACCTATTGTATATTTATTATTTTGTTTTTATACAAGAAAATTTAATTTATTTTATATTTCACTAAAACAGAATGTTAGTTTAATATACGTATATACAGGACAACCAAAAATTTTCAAAAAATATTAAAACTGTAAATGGTAGAGTAAAATTTTCAAATTGAGTACCTAGGTAATGTTTCTTTTCACTACTACTCTAAACTTCCATCAAATTTAATTATTCTTTGTTAAATTCAGTTTATATTTTTAAAATTTCTTGTAAGATACTACAACTCTACCATTTAAAACCAATTAAAAATCTACAACTACACGATTTTCTAAATTATTAGAAAAAAAAATGCAAAATCATGTTCAATTTTAGGTTATCAGTTTATCACCAATATTTTTCTTGATAAAAGTAACAATAACTTACGACATGTATTTTCGGTTAAATTTTTACTCACCCTGTATACCCAACTAAGCGTTTACTGGAACAATTTTAGTTTTAAATTTTTATCGAAAAATAAAAAACGCTTATAAGTCCAGAAAACTGAAACTAAACATTAAAAAGTTTTATCAAGGCCAACTACGACACAACGTTTTTTTAAAAATACTCTAGTTAGCCAGGTACGATGGCGTATGAACAACAAACTAAATTAACACATAATCACCTGCGATTTTTTATGTACCTACTTGTTTTAATAAATTTATTTTCGAAGTAATTAAAATCGACTACATAATTAAATACTGTATTTTTCGCGGGTTTTTAATTCATTTGTTAAGCGCGCGTTTTACCTATATATAATAATAGATGCTCGTATAACTGAAGCAGCCCGAACAAAATATAATACACAGTGAAAGTATCTGAAAGTAAAAGCTTGTTTGCCAACAATAAATTAGTTTAAACTTACCTTATTACCTATCTGATGCTGAATATCTTTGATCCAAAAATCACAAGTTAATTAATTAAATCTTTATAAAAACACCCGTATAAATGCTACGTCAATTAGGAATGTGTGGATGCAATAATTGAAACGTTGGATTGTATCAGTGACCAAACTAACTAACGTTCATTGTTACAAAAGGTCGACAGTGACA